GCCGCAATCCCTTCTCCTCCATTCTCCTCTCGGGATCTTGGGCACGCACGCACATGCGCCCGGCGTGAGTTTTAAGCCACCGGGTCCGGGACATGAACCACGGTCGACTACGTGGGAGCCCAGCGACATAGCCATTACGCTAACTGCTGGTTCCCAATGCGGCTCTATCTGTCACCTTATGGCAGCCTATGGTACTTTCTCCGAGGAGCTGCTGTACTCGATCTTTCAAACTACAGGTGTTGCCCATATGAGCACATGACAGGAGAAACCACAGTGTCTATGTTCTTTATCCTCTTATTCATTAGGTTGATCATTTGATCACTAATCTCTTTCATGACATTGTGGCTCCCTAGGAATGTTCTGGAACCTGCCTCTGTATTTGCTCATTGCCTTGTTTTCAATATTTGCACAGGAATTGACGCTGGAAGACACTCAACAAACAATGGCTGGATGACTCAGTTTCGCCCAGGCTCTGCTGATCATTGTTGCAGGAAGAACTGTTCTCAGCCTCTCCCCACATTTCTGTCTTAACTCACATCAAAACAGAAATTTCTCCAATTCTCTCACTGTCTTAAAGAGATTTCTGACATTGTTTCTACTTTCTCTTTAAGAAAAGAGGGGTGACTTATCTAACAGGTGAGATGGTGAAAGCCTTCCTCCACTGTCCCTTTACTACAGAAGGGGCTCACTGCCCGTGGGTGGCCTGCCTTCACACTCTCCATGCTTGACAGGGCATGAAGCAGGCTGTACCCTCCATGTGCCCACACAGGCAAGTTTCTCTCATGCAGGCTTTTTCTTATCATGTATGGTCGGATGTCTAGAGACAGATCCTGCATTTCTATTTCTTAATTTAGCTACAAAGCTGGAGGCAAAGAAGAGTAATTGATTTGGCTCCCAAGAAAATCCTAACTGTCCTGAAAAAGAGACTCATAGTTGTTGTTAATAGCAATACAAAGACATAAACAGCAAAAAGAGAGGTCTCTGAGGGGGCATAGGCTGCCTGCCTCTTTTTAGTTAGTCTATAAGCTCTCCTCTAAGGATATCAACAGAAATACTAAAATCCATACTTTGATGAAAATTTCATAAATCCAGGCTGCCCTATCAGAGCAGTAGTCACCTAATGCAATTGAGAGCTATCAAGAGCATCGTTCAGAATGGGTTTACCACGAAGCCTTCATGCTGGTGTCAGTATGGAGATGGAACCGTGGATATACTTTTCTCATTAAGCAGGGTGGAGCAGGCCATGTCTTGGGTGGACTAAAAGAGTCACAAACCCCCAAATAATGCATGTTTCTGAACAAAGGAAATGGCTGCAGCACTACAGATCAACATAACCAAGACATGGAGGGAAGGAAGAGAAGGCTCCCTGACCCAAGATCCCTGAAAAATAAACACTAGGCAGCTTCCCTGGCTGCAAATGGCTGCATATCACATCTCTATCAGCAGCTGGGCATCTGGGACTCTGATCTGCTAAAACATGTGTGGGCTGGGCTATATCATGGTGGTCAGGTATGCTACCCTGATGAGAACAGTTCTAAGCCTATGCTCATGGAAAGTTGAAGGGCAGACTCCAGCAAAAGGCAGGTTCTGATCTGGATTCTGGAAAGTGCCAAGAAGAATGGACCAATGTGGCACCTGTCTAATCTAGTCTAGGCTGATACCAGTGTTACCATCTGACTAAACAGGTCTGGCCCCATGCAGAGTCTACATGTAATGGCTCAGGACCAATCCACTAGCACTGAGTACAGAGGCTCTTTTCTCCCCATCTTTCTGCACCATAACAAGGCACGTAGGCACTGCACACATCACCTTCCTGGCACCTGCCCCTCAGCCCTAGTTTTCAATAGAGTTCACCTCCACTGGCAATTGGAGAATCTGAGCAGAATCGCAAGGTCGCCAAAGTCTTCAGGAAGCATAAATGAACTTATTGCTCCCCAAAAAATTGCTTCACAGAGCAGAAGAGTTTTAGATTCCATCATCTATGTTGACCCGTGCTATTTCAGATATGAGACTAAGAGATCAACTAATCAATCTCTGTACTCTAAACCTTAATTTGGGATTATGAAACCAACAGGTAAAGTATAAATATTAATCTGCCTTTTCTAAGAGAACAAAAGTCTTGGGTCTCCTAAGATTCTTGTTCTCTTATATATTCTGAGGCTATGCCATTTGTCTGAGGATTGTTAGTTATAACTTCCAGCTGAACGGCATTCATCATCGTGTGATTGTCCTCTTTCTCCCAAATCATGTTCTTCTCACTGAAGACTTTTTGCGTGATACTGATCTTGCCATGCCAGGTTGCTATTGTTAGTATTTGCCTGGTATGCTTTATTTTACTACCTCGAAGTTAATCTCTATCTCTTACCTTCTCTTTCTTGTCTCATCTCTTCTTCTCTTAGGACTGTGTTTTTCCAGCTCTGCTTTCCTAGATAAAGGAGCTTTTTTTTTGCCCTCTTTCCTGGAAAGGCAACTCTTCTAAAGGAATATTTCCCAATTTTGTGGGGGTATGAAAAACAGTCCATCTGATCTGCTGTCTTATTAGCTCCTAAGTTTTCAGCTCTTGCTTTAAGTGTCTTCTGCATTTGGGGAGTTTCCTTTATTTCTCCCAAGTCTTAATTCACTTTGGTGTTTTGCATGTGTTTAGTAGGTAGGTTGGGTGGAAAAGGAGGGAGAGGAAGCACGTAAACTCTTATCTGCCATTTTGCTGGAACTTCAGGTGTGCTCTCTTCCCATGTTAGGTTGTCTCCAGGCAAGGAGATTTGTCAATGTGACTAAAACTACTGCTGACATGAGCCCCAGGGTCACTGGTCTTTCCCATATACACAAATTCAGATGCTCTAGAATCTGGCTGCCTTCATCAGCTTGCCTTCTGGGTTCTTTCCAAGATTAGGATAAACCAATTCTTGGTTGTACTGTGGTACCTTGAGATTATCAGGGTGGTCACATGCTTCTTCCTACTTCAGAGTTAAGCTCTAGTCCTGTACTGTCCAACAGAGGGGCTACTAATCACATGTAGCTATTTCAATTGAAATGAATTGAAAGCACAGAAAATTAAAAATGCAGTTGTTCAGTTACGCTAGTCCCATTTCAAGGGCTCAAAAGCCACCTGCAGCTCGAGGCTTCCACGGTGGCCAGTGCAGCATAGGGTGAGTGGATAGCACTGAGCATCTACTCTGTACTACACACTGTTCTCGGTAGTCTGCATACATATTCCTATTCAATCTTCAAATCATTTCCAGGCAGGATATTTTGATACTCTCACCTATTGTACAGGTGAGGAATCAGGTCAGAGAAGCTTCTGACTTGCCCAACATCACACATTTAGTAAGCTGCACAGTTGAGAGCTGAGGCTAGATATACTTAAACTCTTTCCACTTTAAATCCTGTTCCCCAGTTTACAATGTGTTGATTCTCCTGGTATCAGGCATATTAAAGGTGACTTTTGACACTTTCATTATTCATTTTATCAGTCAGTCAATGGCCTGAAAGCAAGGGCAATTGCTTAAAACAATGCCAGAAGTGAGCAGACAATGTGCTTATTCCAGTTTTACCAAGCTATTCAAAAGCCTCTGAGTCTTCTTCTTCAAATCATTTCCAGGCAGGATATTTTGATACTCTCACCTATTGTACAGGTGAGGAATCAGGTCAGAGAAGCTTCTGACTTGCCCAACATCACACATTTAGTAAGCTGCAGTTGAGAGCTGAGGCTAGATATACTTAAACTCTTTCCACTTTAAATCCTGTTCCCCAGTTTACAATGTGTTGATTCTCCTGGTATCAGGCATATTAAAGGTGACTTTTGACACTTTCATTATTCATTTTATCAGTCAGTCAATGGCCTGAAAGCAAGGGCAATTGCTTAAAACAATGCCAGAAGTGAGCAGACAATGTGCTTATTCCAGTTTTACCAAGCTATTCAAAAGCCTCTGAGTCTTCTTTAGTCTCTCGGATACTACATTATTAAAAAAAAAAAAAAAAGACTCTCCATGACATTTCTATGCTTAGTTTTTTTACACCAATTGGACAAATACACATTAGGAATATGTAGATTATCTAGAAATTATCTTAGAATTCTGTACCCATACAAAATCTAGAATTTCTCCCTATTTATTTATTCCTTCACTCAAGAAATACTGAATGCCTACTATATGCTGGGCGTCAGGATGGACACCGGAACTGTAACAGGACGTGGGAGAGAGGCAGTCCGAGCCCCAACAGGGCACACAGGCAAGTGAAGACGACACACACCAAACACGTGCTTTGTGATCACAGTTGCCCTTAAGTTTCTCAGTAACATAAATATTCATGGTATTATCATGAGTCACATATCCATTGAGTTGAAATTTTAAGAGGCCAGAGGGGAGGCTCTACTTTCTAAGAGGGATGTATAACAGGACCATGGTGTTCTGCAGGAATATGCCACTCTTAGTCAAAGAGTTCCTGAACTCATTTTTCCTTGGAAGAGCTAATTCAGGAGGGAAAACATTCCCTGAAATACACACCATGCTTGAACACGCCAATGAGAAGGGACTTATCGGCCTCGGCATCCCACCAGTCCACAGGGATTTCCACATAGTCGATGTCGGGCAGAGGCACATCTAGCTCCCTGTGGAAGGAAGAGGATGGACTCAGAGTTCCTTCAACACACACATAAAACAGTGCAAAAGCTGCTGGCCTGATCATGGTATTAGGCCGCCATCCTAGCTCTGTGATGAGATGCTGAAGTAATAAACAGGATTCAGAAAGCTGTGGGTCAATGTTTCTTAACCACGGCTTTGTATCAGAATCACCTAGGGATTTGATTAAGCACATGTACTTGATTTCTAGGCTCTACCTCAGACTGAGTGACACTGAGTCTTCAAGCACTATGATCATTGTCAGTTGGTCTATGGTGGGGTTGTGGGATTTATATGTGAAAGGTAGCTCTGATACGCACCTTCTGTTGCGAACTATTGTAAAAGCCACTGATGTAGTTACTGGTCAACTGAAGGTGCAATTTTCTCCCCCAAAAGCTGAATTCATACACAACTGCTTAAAATTAATGTGCCCAAACCCTCTTGGCTCAGTAAGTGGCCAAGTGGAGGTCTCAAATAGTAGAGATGTGAAGATCCTAAGTACTCTTTGAGAACAGGACAATCTGCCCTAGTATAATCAGGGACATGAAGAGGGCCTTTCAGGGGAAAAGTATGGCAACAGGTAGCAACCTGATGTGTTAGTCTGCTGGGTCAAAACTGATCACAAGTTGCACTGCTCCTGGTTAAAGGGATGAGCATAACTCACTTTAGGGTGCAAATATGCAGACCTGTTATGATTAGCAGGCCTACTACATAAGCTCCTCTCTGAGTATCTGTTCGTGTTCTGAGCGCTTATAGTCTTCATTCACCTGAGCACAGCCCTTATTCTTTGAAGGCTTTGGGGGTTTGGTGGAGAACATCTACTTGGATTACTCCTCCCCTTCTGCTGCTTGAGATGATTTCTCTGCATCAGAATTTCTTCTTCCATCAGGCTTTTTATTGCTGATAGAAGACTGAGTGCTTCTTCCCAGCCCCAGCTCTCTCTGTGGGGACAGTGTTGGCAGAGACCCACTGCCTTGCTTACATGATAGCACAGGACTTCATGCTATTCTCACATGACCTGACTGAATCATTCTTACTCTACCTTCTGGCTGGCGGGTCCTAGGCATGGTGGAACCCAGGGTTTGTGAAGCACAGGCAGTCAGCTACATGAACAGGTACTTTATGTCAATTCTTTAACACTGAATCTAAAGCTGATTTATTTTACCTGGCAGGAGTTCCTTCAAATGCTTTATCAGCTGCTTCTCCCAATATTTCAGCTTTTAGGTAGTATAACATCCTCACTCGCAAAAGTACCCTATGAAAGGTAAACACATTAATGCAAATGAATTAGAACCCATGACTGACTGTGAACCACATCCCCAAGTTAACACAGGGAAATTCTAGACATTCTCATGTGGTTAGTGACACAAAGTATTATGGGAGAAGGCACATGAGAAACAAAACACCATGTACCAATTACAGATGTTACTATGACCATCCCAGTTTTACACAAGAGAACAAGTACCTCATCAGTCAACTGCTAGATCACCCTGGAGCCTTAGGAGGCAGCAAAAACAGGCAACGCTCTTCTGATCTTGTGAAGAGCACTCACCCTCTTCTGCATGGCCCTCGGCAGAGCTGGCTTCCAAGGGACCAGTAATTAGCTTACTATTTCTGAAGGATGAGTCATGTTGAAGGGTGGTGCTTTCTAACAGTTTCATTTCTACATAGTTAGAAGAATATATAAAAGCAGGCACTTATTTTTTTGTGGTAGTATGTATTCTCTCCTAGGTGCCCAGTTCATTGTAATTCTGCATGGATCACACTCATGTTCCATGAAAATGCATTGAACATGTTTGAGACAAAACAATTAAGCAAGTATTATTGGGCAACTATTATGTTCCCTGAACTATGCTGGGTGCTGTGAGGTGTAAAACAAAGCAATTTAACCCTGTTCTTGAGGAGCCTATAGCCTAGTTGTAGGACAGGAACTATCACGAAAGAGAGTACAGAAGACAGTGGGGGTCCAGGCTTAGTGTGTGCAAAACAGGGGGAAAGTGAGGACAAGCATGGAAAAGCAGACCACTGTCAAGGAGATGCTTTGTAGTCAAGGCTAAGCTACAAAAAGGTTTGGAAGAGTACTTCTGGGACCAGCAGATGGCATAATGGTTATGTCACTGGACCCCCATATAGTTGACCACGGATCGAGTCCTGGACCCAGCAGCTTAAAACTCACAATGGGTGAGAGTGTGTATGAATGTGACCAAAATCCCTAAAGAAGACTGGAGAAGGGACTGTGGCATGACTATTCTTCCCGGGGGGTGACTTCTCACTTTCTGTCTCTCTGGTGAGCAGATGTACCCTATAGCAAAAACCTTTCTTAAACAAAACAAAACAAAGCAAAGCAAGACAAAACAAAACAAAAGAGGGGGCTGGCAGGTGGCGTGGTGGTTAAGGACACTGGATTCCCACGTGGCTGACTGCAGTTCAAGTCCCGTACCTGGCAGCTTGCTTTCTCTCTCTCTTTCACCTCTGTCCTCCTCTGGTCAAATTAAAATAAATAAATAAATAAATAAATAAAGCTAAATAACTAAATAAATCAGCACAAATTAAAAAAAATGTACTTGTAATATGCTCAATGCCTCAATTCAAGAATGAAAGCTAGAGGGACCAGCAGTTAGTGTAATGGCTATGTCGCTGAATTCCATGTAGTCGACTGTGGTTCAAGTCCTGGACTCAGTGGCTTAAACTCACGCCAGGCACCTGTGCGTGCATGCCCAAGATCCTGAGAGGAGAATGGAGGAGAAGGGATTGTGGCGTGGCCATCTCCTCTAGGGGGTGATTTCTCACTTTCCGTCTCTCAGTCTCTCTCTGTCCCTCTGGTGAGTGCATGAGCCCTGTAGCAAAAACCTCTCCAAAAAAAAAAAAAAAAAGAAAGCTAGACAATAAAAATAAAAGCCTGCTTATATACACTTAAACAGGAACTGATTTCCAGACTGTTAAAAAAAGAGATCACAAACAGTATGTACAATATGTATCATTTTAAGGAAGACAAATGGAGCCTGTATCTTTATGTATAAGGTACATGTTTGGTCTCTAGAAGAGTCAGGTTAACATAATTGCCTCCAGAAAGGGTGACAGGGGAAACAGAGGTAGAAGGAATGCTTACTTTTTTTTGGGGAAAAAAAATTTAATTTGGTTATAGGGAGAGAGATGGGGGTGTGGAAGGATGGGGGATGACGTGAAATCACCCTCCATGGGTATGTCACACCACAAACTCTTCTTCACTTCTCCCTTCTGGATTTTGGGTACGCAAGTACAGGCACCCAGTGTGTATTTCAAGCTGCCAGATCCAGGACTTGAACCATGCAACTGGCCATGTGGGATCCAGCTGCCTTAACCACCATGCAACTGGCTGGCCTGAAATTTTAATTAATTTATTTTATTTTTAGAACTGTTTATTATGCTGGCAGGCATAGAGGAGTTAACACTCTGAATCTCTGGCCTGAAAAAAATTTGTAACACACATGTAGTACTTACAAGAAGTTAATAGTGAAGGATTGAGAACTCTAAAAATAACTACTCCCCTCTCCTTTTTATTTTTGTAAGACAAGGTCTCACTATGTTATGATTTTCATACCTCATCCTCCCAAATCATGTATCACATGCTCATAAATAAAGCATAACTTCTATTAGATCTGTGCAAAAAGTGCCACTGCAGCCTCAAGTTATTGGTGAAAACACACAACTTTCAGGCAAGAAAAACATCCTATGTCTCTGGTATACCTCTCCCTATGCCAGTTGTCAACCAATTTAAATAATTTTAAGATCTGTTTTCTTTTTTTTTTTTTTTTTTTTTTAAGCTCAGAGAATAAGAACTCTCTAAGAACTCTATTCCACTGTACGAGATGGCAGGGGGAAAAAAGCTGTGAAGCAGGATACTAAGGAGAAGAAACATGAAGCCAAGAAGCTGTTGCCAGTGGCAAGGTTAAAAAGGGTGACCCCCCAAGGCTATAAAGCCCAAGAAGGGGAAGGGTGCCCCCCCAAGGCTATAAAGCCCAAGAAGGGGAAGCCTCATTGCAGCCGAAACCCGGTCCTAGTCCAGGGCATCGGCAGATTCTCCCCATCTGTCACGTATTCCAGGAAGGCAATGTATAAAAGGAAATACTCGGCCACTAAATCCAGGGTTGAAAAGAAAAAGATGGAGAAAGTACTTGCCACTGTCATGAAACCTGTTGCTGGAGACAAGAATGGTGGTACCTGGGTGGTTAAACTTTGCAAAGTGCCTAGGTATTATCCTATTGAAAGATGTACCTTGAAAGCTGTTGAGTCACAGCAAAAAACCCTCCAGTCAGCATGTGAGAAAGCTGCGAGCTAGCATCACTCCCAAGACCATTCTGATCATCCTCATGGGGCGCCACAGGGGCAAGAGAGTAGTTTTCCTGAAGCAGCTGAGTAGTGGCTTGCTACTTGTGACCGGACCTCTGGTCTTAATCAAATTCCACTGTGTAGAACACACCAGAAATCTGTCATTGTCACCTCCACGAAAATTGATACTAGCAAAATAAAAATCCGCAAACATTTCACCAATGTCTACTTCAAGAAAAAGAAGCTGTGGAAGGCCAGACACCAAGAAGGTAAGATCTTTGACACAGAGGAGAAGTACAAGATTACAGAGTAGTGCAAGGTTGATCAGAAAGCTGTGGACTCACAAATTTTACCAAAAATCAAAGCTATTCCTCAACTCTAGGGTTATCTGCGATTTATGTTTGCCCTTAAAATGGCAAACGCTCCCAAATTGGTGTTCTAAATTTCTTGCCAAGAACCTAATTAAATAACTGAAAACAAAACAAAACAAAACCATACAGAAAACAGAACTCTCTAAGAATTTACAACCATTGCTGATCCCTATCCCTAGCTGGTGGTAGTAGCTGGCAGCCTCCTCAGTAAGAACTGAACCAGAACGTCAGAGTCTTGTCTGCTGAGACAACGCAGAGGAAGGCTTTCCTGGAGATGAAGACAGGGAGAGTTGTTTCAATTTCTCTAAAGAGAAGCATATGTGTTGATGTTTGGCAATATCTGTAGCATGAGAGAACAGAATAGAAAGCCAATAGTATTCACTTATTCTCTAAATGGAAAGTCAGTTCAGAAGACAGAGGAATAATTCCTCACAGAGATGACTCTTCCTAGAGTGAGACAATAATCCTATTGGCGTCTAACTGAAAGGGAAGGACAGCTGGAGCAAGTGTGTAGTGCCCTTGCTTTAGCCAAACAAAACAACCCGTTATATTTTGGATGGCGGCATCCCTTATCCTTTCTTTCTTTTTCTTTTCATGAAAGGCATTTTACTGATGTGAAATACACTTCCACCAAGTGCATAAATGCACAGATTGATGAATTTTTATAAATATGTGTATCCAGCATCCAGATGAGGAAGCAGAGTGTTTCCCCAAAAGTTCCCCTGGTATTCCTTTCCTGTCACTACCCTACCCCCAGTGGATAACAACTACCCTGACTTTTTCCTTTTTTTAAAGAAAAGATCTTTCTCTTTTAATCATCCTGTCTCAGTCTCCCACGTATCTGGGACTATGGTTGCAGCATTGTGCCTAGCCTTCAGGTTAGGCTGGGAATGCACCTGTGGGCTCCAGGTGGCCTCAGCCCGCAGAGCACTTAACACTGCAGCAGGGCCTACCCTGACTTCTTGGATTTGAGGCAGTGCTTTAAACTTTTTAAGGGCTCTTTTAATGATAATTTCATGTCTCTAAATAATAAACTACTACTAATGACAAACAATGCTCTGAGTGCTTACTCTGTCAGCACATGCTGACTTGCTTAATCGTCATAACAAAGCAAAGAGGTAGACATTGTTATTATTTTCATTTTATAGAAAGAAAGAAGGCGTGTTAGGTTAAATATTGAGTGATCAGAAAAGTTATGATATATTTTTTCTGTTTTTCCATTCAAAACTGTGTCTTGATTTTTCTGACAACCCAATGATTTACCTGCTGGCCAAATAAACCCAGGCAGTTTTGAGCCAGAGCCTGCTTAATCTTTATCTGATATTGGGATAGCAATAAATTTACAATTATGACAGAACTCTCCTAGTTGATCATTTAGTTCTCAGTTCATCTTATTCAATCTTGCGAACTGTATAGCCAGATTAGTTTTCTCCCCAATTATCTTTTTAAAAAATCACATGTCTCACTTGTACAAGAAATGAGGTTGCTTTGTATTTACAATGCAATTCTGGGCTGGTCCTGTGGGCTGGTAGTTAAGGGAGCTGGAAACCCATAGCTAACTGCATCGTCTCGGTCCTGTGACTTGAACACACACTAGGCATGCATGTGTGACTGCCCAAAATCTTGACAGGATGGAGAAATGGAAGAGAAGGAATTGTGGAAGCCTCATAGGGATGTGCATAGTTTCATTTCCTATCACTATTTTTGCCATGTCCCATCTGCACTCTAACGATTAGCCTATAGATATAAAGAATCCACACATCTTAAATAACTAGAAGCCAGAAGTCCTACCCTTTACAATTAGGCAAAAGGACTAAATCAAGAGCCTCTAAGTTGGAAAGGAGGAAGTCAAACTGTCCCTGTCTGCAGATGATATGACCTTAAATACAGAAAATCCTAAAGATGCCCTTAAAAAACAAAAACCAAAAAATTCTTAAAACTGAGAAATTCTCAGTAAAATTTCAGCATACAAAAACAACATGTAAAACTCAGTGGCATTTTTACATGCCAGTAATTTGAACAGCAGAAAAAAATAGTTTTAAAATTGTATTTATAATACCTACGAAGAAAATAGAATACCTAGAAATAGATTTAACTAAGGAGGTGAAAGATCTATAAAATGGAAAATTAAATCACTGATAAAAGAAGACACAAAAAAATGGAAAAGGCATTTATGTTCATGGATTGGAAGAATCAATGCTGTTAAAATGTCTATACTACTGAAAGCGATCTGATGATTCAATGCAATGCCTTTCAATGGCATTCTAAACAGAAACAGAAAAAAATATAAAAATCTGTATGGAATCACAAAAGTCCCCGAATATATACTTAATATACACCGAATGTCTACACTCTATGGCAGAAACTGAAATATTGGATGGTACAAAAGCGTGGAGAGCAACTGTGGATCCACAGACAGTGCGGGAGGAGGGTGGGAAGTAGAAGGTGAGAGGGAGGGGATCAAGGAGGACAAGAAAGAAGTAAAACATTTAACAATCACAGATAGGAAAATTATCTGTTGAAGATACTATGTATGGTAATATCTTGGATTGAGCCAATATACAATGTATTATGGATGGAAAACTCATTTTGTATGCTGTAATAAAAGACAGTGAGTGAATGTAAAATAAATAAATAAATAGCAAAAAATGGGCAAATACCATGAATAAATAGTTCTCAAAGGATGACACACAAATGGCCAAAAAAAACCATGAAAAAACACTCAACATCACTAATCATTAAGGAAATACAAGTCAAAACTGCAATGAGATACCATCACTACCCCAGTGTGAATGGCTATTACCCCAGCCTGAACAGCTATTCTCGAAAAGGGAAAAAAAAGAAAAAAAAAAGAAAAACCAAATACTGGCAAGGATGTAGAGAAAGAAGAACTCTTTTACACTGTAGGTAGGAATGTAATTTAGTGTAGCCATTATGGGAAATAGTAGGAGAATCTGCAAAAACTCAAAATAGAACTGCTATGTGATCAGCAATCCCACTTACTAGGAATTTATCCAAAGGAAAAGAAATCAGTACGTATTATGTTGATTGAAAATCATGATTTTCCTGACAACCCAATACCACATTTCTTCCCAATATGTGGAAATTTATATATATATATATGTATATATATATAGGACTTCATAGAAGTAGAGAAATGAAGAATGACTATTAGAGACTGGAAAGGAGAGGGGAATAGGATAAGGGGATGATGATTAATGAAAATAAATTTATATATAGGTAAGAGGACAATTTTTAATGTTACAAAGTACAATAGGAAGAATATAGTTAACTACTTACCATACATCTCAGAGTAACTAAACAAGAAAAGTAACCAGGGGACTTGAATGGAAACAGCAAATTCAAAGAGGAAATAATTTGGGGCTCAGGGTAGTGTTCAGAGACAAGTGGCCCTTGCCAATGTGACCCAGGGGCAGAGGATGCCCTGACTGGCTTTTGAGAGTTAGAGTAGAAAAACCTGGGAGTACACAATGTATCAGCAGAGGGGCTAGATTCTGTGGGGGTGAAGAAACATTGTACAACAGCTGGAGGAGTTTAACATGAATGGATCCTGACCCAGCTTAATGCTTAGATCATAGATCACATATCCTGTCTGTCCAGAGCTTACACTAAGCAGTACAGGAGCATGGGGCAGTCTCTCTGGTTCTCAGGAATCTGTCCAGTCTGAACAAGGCTGCCAGCAAGGATGCACATACTCACTTATTGCAGTGCTGTTTGAGGTGTTTCTTGTAGCCATCATCATGCAAGACAACCTCGGGATTGCAGGTGGCCAGCCAGTCTGCATTCTTGAGCTCTGGGAGCAGTAGCTGGTTCTTTGTTTTCTTCCCTTTCCTCCCTCTGGGGACTGGGGCAGACAACCCTGAAATAGACAGTGCAGGGCATGTGGATGAGTTGAGAGACCTTAAACATGGGTGTTAGAACAGAGCTGGGCTGGGATTGTAGAGAGGCAGCCAGGCTGTGCGTGTGGGCCCTGGATATCAGACCTCATGTCTCAGTCCCCAGGTGATGGTGGTGAGGGGATATGCCTGCTCCCCTACATAGTAAGCCCTAGGACCACTTAGTTAGCCAGTAAGGTTTACCAAGTACCCTGTGAGGATCAAGAAAAGTATAACATAACCTGTACCCTTTGGGAACTGAAAACCTAGCTGGGAAAAAGGGACACTTGATCTGAGGCTAAAGGAGAGCTTTGGCCAAGCACAAGGAAGGAGAAATATAACATATTTAGAAAAGGCACAGAGAGAAGTGGAGTAGGGTAAAACAGAACGCAAAAGACAAGACAAAGTACCAAGTGTGTGTCCCTGACACAGGTGAGTGGGCAGGAAGACATGCAGAAAACTTCAAGGGCTCAACTTAAACAAATACAAGTAACACTGGAAAATTTCAAGAACTAAAAGCATCACCTTCCTTTCCCACAGGTAACATTCTGGAATGTGTTTGAGAGAGAGGGCCTTACAACACACCATCATGAGCCCGCCCAAGATGCAGGGATAAAAGTGCGCTGAAGCCTGTACTTCTCAGACCCAGCCCTGCCACCTCTCACCTGAGTGGTTCTGCAGGGTCTGGGACTGCCCATCTTTGGTAGGTGTGATCAATTCCCAAATGAAGCTCTTGATCTTCTCATCCCCCTTATAATGCTTGACACAATACACCAGTAGGGCCCGGCAAATCATCTCCATGTCCTTCTCATTCAGATGCCACTTGAATCGCCCGTGAGTCAGGATATCCTTCCATCGACCCCAGCTGATAGTGGAAATATAGATAGAAGGGTGCTGGAGGGAGGAAGGGCCATGCATGCAGTCTCCACAGAGCAGGACAAACAAAAGCCCAGAGTACTTTTCCTTTGCTGTTGGGTCTATTCATTACCTGAGGGTTTTGTCTTGAAAGGCCTTTGAGGACCACAGGACTATAGCACACAAACGTCACTAAGGTGGCCTGGATGTTGGACACTGAGAGCTTCATATAGCCACTAGAATGTGAGGAAGGGAGGGACCAAAATATTGGGAGCAGGGAATAAATTCAGAATTCAAGCGTCCAGCTGCAGTATTCAAAAGCAATGGTGAGCTCACAGAAGCTGAGCCTTCCATCTCTACCACAGCATAGTCCTGCACGAATCACGATTTGACAGTAACATCTGCTGCACTGACTCCTTATATGTCCTTGGGGGAGAGAGGCAGGAAATCAGTACTAGGCAGCAAATTAGTACCAGAGATATGCTGTGACTGCATACAAGAACAAAATGGCATGTCTACACTGTAGCTGCACAGTCTAGGTTGACCGAGGGATATTCTGAACAGAAAACACAGGTCTCTCTTGAGCCAGCAGGTCCCCAAGAGCACAGAATTCTAGAGGTGACTGAAGAGACACAGTGGAAAAATCTCAGGGACTGGAAAACAGAGGGGTAAACAATAACAAAAACAACAAAATCAAGCAGAGCCAATACCCACCCAAAGATGAGCAGGTTCTTCTCCACCCGAAAACACTCAGCTCGGAGGTAGCGCCTGGCTTTATCATTGAGACGCCTGGATCTCGTGGGCCTTTCATCAGAGTCACTGTCTAACTCTGAAAACTCCATGAGCTCATCTTCCTCAAATGAGTTGTAGTGTTTGGTCTGCTTTCTCACACGAGGTCGGTCAATCACCAAGCTTTCCTAGAAACGGAGAGGATCACTGGGGAGAAGCCCCTCTTTCCTCTACCCCATCACAAACACATCCTGCTGCTGTGTCTCAGGACACATTTGAGAAAGGATCATGCTCCCGCCTCATCCTCCCCCAGCACACCACCGTCTCCATGACCACAGTATAAGCACAGAAGGTTCTTGGGATTGGCTCAAGTTGGTGTGTCCCATGGCCTCTTGTGATGTCTGCACCTTCTGCTGTTTCTGACAGGGGTCAGAGCAGGAAAGGCCCCTTGTGGAAAGGTGGCAGTCTGCTCCTGCCAAGAAAGACTTACAGCTGGTGTGTCCCAGCTGTTCTGCCCAGCATGCAGAGAGAGATCTGCGCTCTGGATACAAGGTAAGTCAGAATTACGTCTGCTCAGCAACTTTCTGAAGACAAACACATTCCTGCAAATCTGTTTTCCACTGGCACTAACTGCTTATCTTTTGTCTTTCATGGAAAATACAATTCCTAGTTCAGGAACCTCTCTCCTGGTGGCTCTCCCAGTCACACCCACTGCTTCTCCTTTAACCTCCTCTCAGTTCCTGCTCCTCTCCTCTCCTCCCTACAGGCAGGCTAAACTCCTGAATGTGCTGCTACTTAGCCCAGATGACAGGTTTCCACTGCCAGCCCTGCTTCAACCACCTTCTTCCCCACTCTGCAATGCTTCTACTGCCCACAAGGCAAGAGCTTTCTTCCTCCTCTCCCACCCACTATCCTATACACTTCTTCACTGTGACACCAGAACCCCTGAAACAGGTTACTAAAGGGGACTGCAGAACCTTCTTCATGAAAGAGGAAAACAGCATTTCTATTTGGAATCATAAAGAGAACAGTTCTGCCTGAATTCTGGGTTACTCAATTAGCAAGATGTGGGCAGGGATTGTCTGATGGGTTTGTGGGTCCACGAGAGTTCCACGCTCACCTGAGAAGAAGGCAGAAGGATGTGTAAGCATCCTGCGGGGAGGCCATGGGCTCAGAGAGTGAGGAAGCGGTGCTTCACAGTGGCTAGGCCCTGTGCCAGTCATATTCGAATGTCACTGCACAACCATGCAGCATGTGCTTCACCACATTCCTTTTCACTTGTCTCAGTCAGGTGAAGTCCCTCCCCCAAAGGTTTACTCTGGTTTCATCCTAAAGTCCACTCTCCTTCTCATACTGAGAAATAGGAAAATGGAGTCGAGGCAACGAACTTTTTCATCATGATTTTTCCCCCTTACTCTTTTTTTCTCAGAAGAAAGTTTTGAAATGGAGGTAAATAGTCACATGCCATGGATGGAATGTGACTTGAGACAGAGTTGGATGTGACATGTCTTGCCAGTTCCAGCTCTAACTGCCTTGATCTAGGTCCTGGGTGCCAGCAGACTTTATAGCCCATTAGGTCATTTAAAAAGTAAAACACGTAGGGTCGGCAGGTGGTGGGGTGGTTAAGGCACTGGATTCTCACATGGCTGATTATGGTTTGAGTTCTGGAACTGGTGGCTTACTTTCTCACTTTTCCTCTCTCTCTGGTGCCCTATAGCAAATTAAAAAATAGTAATAATAATAAAAATAAATAAAAATAATTAAAAATATAAATAAAATTATAACAGTTAACATTTATTAAGTGCCATCTATGGTCAGGTATGTCTAAAATATGTAACAAGATCATCTCATTTAAGAACTAAGACCCAGGAGTAAATGATTAGAGCTGTCTAGGAATCTATTATCCTATAAGATACCAATGAAACATTCAGTGGAATAAAATATTCTCATGCTGTACCTTTTCATTCTTTGCTTCAGTGTCTAGTTCAGCTATTTTAGCCCATTTCTGCCAAAAGTTGGGATCATCTAAGGAAATATCTGTTCTGTTTCCCGAAGCTACGAAGCTGGCCTGTGAAAAAGACAAGAGTGAAAAAACTGTACTTACAGTACAAACTCATAAAATACCTGTGTTATTTCAAATGTACCAGAAACTTTAAGTGTATTATCTACTGGGTTGTCAGAAGAGTCATGACATGCTTTATCTATTTTTTCCTTTTTTTTTTTAGAGAGGTTTTTGCTATAGGGTGCATGTGCTCACCAGAAAGACAGAGACAGAGAGGCAGAAAGCGAGAAATCACCTCCCGGGGGGGATGGCCACACTGCAATCCCTTCTCCTCCATTCTCCTCTCAGGATCTTGGGCATGCATGCACACACGCCTGACGTGAGTTTAAGCCACTGGTCTGGGACTCGAACCGCAGTTGACTATATAGGAGTCTAACGACATAGCCATTACGCCAACTGCTGGTCCCTACTTTGTTTTTTATGTTTTTATATGCAAAAATGTGTCATGACTTTTCTGACAACCTAATATTTGCATTCAAAACCAAAAATCCCTAACAGAGCTTCAGAGTAAATGTAACAATCTCAAAGCTATTATTTTTCTCTTTTGTTTTAAAGATAGGGTAAAGAAATTACAATGCCAACTCACAGTATCATTTTTTGGAACTTAAACTTGGAGGCAGGAAGATAACTCTGGGTTGATACTTAAAATTGTCCTAGATTTGATTTTTCTTTCAGTTCAACAGTCACCAAATATTTGTTAACTATGAAAGAGACACCTATATTTGAAGCTGGGAGTCTTAAATAAAATTTCTTTCCCATGAAATGAATAAATACTTGCTTGAGTTTGAGGAATGAAGTGCTCACTGGACGTTCCACTCTGACAACGATCGAGGAGTGCTCTACAAGGGAATCAAAATGACCACTCCAAGGGTTCAGAGCAGTCCTGGCAAACAGCAAACAGAGCAACTGCAAACTCAAGTGTCTCTCCTGCCTCAGTTCTCCAGGTTAGGAGTGGTGTTTTCTTTCCATAGTTTCTGACTCATTACTTGGTTCCTCTAAGGAACTCTAGGGACTGACATCATCTGAGAGTCACAAAGACTAGACATGCAGTAAGTAGGACAGTTTCAAAGATTTGTACAAAGAGTCACAGAAGCCTTGATAACGAGGGTCAAAGAATCATTAATTTTCTTTTCCCTCCTATCCCCAGTGACTCTGGAGAGAAGGTCCTGTACCTTGGCAAAAGTGGACCCTTTCCCTTCAGACTGGATGGTGATTGTGTGGGTTCTTCTTTGTAGAATCTGGTCTATGTCTTCTTCACAGAACTTGGAGCCTTCGTCTTCCTCATCCATTAAAGCTCCATAAGCACCTTTCCGGAGCAAGTCCTCCACCTCCATTTTTGAGAGCTGCTGTACCTGGACAGGTCACCAAAGGCTACTCACAAAGTAGAACATGCACAGGAGAAAAAGCAGCCTCAAATCTGGCCGATATGACTCAGAACACAGATCCTCCACTAACTGCACGCCAGAAGAACAAAGGATATGGACAATGAACTTCAGAAAAAGAAAACCCAGATAAAGGTACTTGGGTGAGGGCAGGCAGACAGTCCTCTACAGGGAGCTCTGGAATAAAGCCCAGCACATGATCCACAGGCCCAAATACTTTTCAGGATGTTGGTTATGAAGAAATGTCACAAGCCATTACAACTATGCACTATCAAAGATGGTATATTTAACATCTATTTTTTATATTTTAGTTTAAGCCTGTATCTTTAAAAATCTCCAGATGTACTAAACAAGCTGAAGCATAATGATTTATTCATTATTAAATAAATATATTAGTATTGGAAATGATGTCATTTTTGTAACAAAAAAAGGGATCTTATGCCAAGTGTGATCTTCTCAATTGCTTGTTGAAAACAGGAAACGGGATTCAAAACACTCAACAGGGAACGGGATTCAAAACGCGCTTTCCTGGTTCTAATTAAGAATCTGGTTTTCTTTGTATCAACCACAAGAGGGAATTCCTTGACTCCCAGCATAGCTCATTTGAAGTATTATACTTAGCAACATACGCATAGCTAAGAAGATACAGAACATCTGGACTAAAGACAACTGATTTAGAAGGTTTTAATTCTCTACCTTTGATGCTTAAACCCAGAGATTAAGAAGATATTCTATTCTGCTTTGTATGCTTTTAAATTTTAAAACAATTTAAGAATCATAGCGGCGATTTTTATCCCCCTCTAGAGGGAGAAAAAAGATTTTAACTGCCAAATGAGATTTCAAAATGTTAGTGGAGGGAACCAGCAGTTAGCGTAATGGCTATGTTGCTGGA